TTCACACTTGTATTTTCTTGAAGACTATTATTATTATTATTGTTATTATTATTATTTTATTATTATTATTATTATTATTATCATCAATATTATTATTATTATTGCAAGTAGACGTATTTTCTGCAAACATTCAGCATGCATACTGGCTGATGACGAACAAGCTAGCGGCCTGTGCTCAGGAAAAATGATGAAGCCACGGATACAGTTCAAATCAGACTTATCTCGGATGACTGATCACCAACAACTTGTTTACACACTGCAACACTCTATGCACACGCGCAGGGTCACCACTAGATGCCACACACCTGACACGTAGTGTGCAGTCACCCGCACGACCGCTCACAGACGATGTAACATATTGACACGACAAAGGGAGACGCACATCGAAACGAATCTGTTCAGTGAAGTGTTGTTGCTTGTATATAGCTACTCAGACGCCTGTGTGATCTCACAACCCGGTTTGGATGTCATTAATTATTATTATTATTATTACTACTATTATTATTGTTACTATTGTTATTACCAATGTGCTACTATTAATATTTTTATTTTTATTTTTATTATTTTTATTATTTTTATTATTATTATTATTTTATTATTATTATTATTATTTTATTATTATGATTATTTATTTATATCATTTGAGATCGCATACTAGGATGGGAGTCAGAGTTGGGAAAGGTGCGAGGCAGCAGAGAGGGGAGGGTCGTCGACAAGTATGACGATTCCTACATCCTTCATCCTTCTCCGCTTTCCTATGTCTAATCCCCACTCAAACACACAACCACCTTCAAACAACATAAGTGAAAATGATATTTTTCAAATGGCTTGCTGAGATCAGGATTCGAGCACAAAGGACTCCTATTCCACACTTGATCCATGTAACGGGGCGATTGCGTGAGCACTGCCGGAGTTCAGGCGGAACTATGGAGACAGGGAACGACGAGGTACGTTACTTCGACCCAATTGCTGTTTCAGAACATATAGGCTATCATCCGTAACGATGCTTACAAGGGTTAGGAATTCAGGATCAATAACTCTTCAAGGGTTAAGGGATGGACAAAGGTCTTGGATTGAGGGTAGAGAAAAAGTTGGCTGAGTGAAAACTGATTGCTTCTGGATACAACGATCTTGCTGTGTGGGAATTGATTGGAAATATGGATACAAGGGATTAACCTCTCACAATCATTCTCTCTATACTCCACCTAAACAATAATGGGTACCCTTGATTTGAGCTTGCTATAGTCAATTGTCATGGACCACACCGATCATTTCTCATTATGCATTTGATCCAGCATAAGTCCTCAAACTAACTACGATTCAAGGCTCGAATGGTATCAAAGGCAATAACTTCATCCGTTGATAAGGCTTGTGTGGAGGTAAGAGTAGCAGGGTCGCATGAAGCCTGCCTTATCGGTGACTGGTCGCATGATAAGAGTAGAAGGGTCTATGAAACCTGCCTTATCAACGACTAGCCAGCGATAAGAATAGTGAGGCTCCATGAAAGGCCCTGCCTTACCTCCGATGAGCCTTACACTCAGTCAGTGATAAGCGTAGCAGGGTTCCTTGAACAACCGCCTTATTGAGGGTTAGCCTGTGATAAGAGTAGCAGGGAAAACCTGCTTTATCAGTGACTAGTCTGAAATAAGAGTAGCGAGGTTTCGAGGACACCTGCCTTATCTTTGACCAATCTAACATTTTTTCAATGGAAAGAGTAGGAAGGATCCTTGGACACCCGCCTTATTGAGGGTTAGCCAGTGATAAGATTAGCAGTGAAAACCTGCCTTATCAGTGACTGGTCTGATATAAGGCGGGTGTCCAAGGATGAAGAAATTGACTCATGGTGTGGACTACCGATAGGACATGAAGCCTTCCTTTGGGTAGAAACTGGGTGGACTACGAGTGAGAGGCATGCAATAGTAAAGGTGACACTTTATCTACCTGCCCTTCTCTGGAGGGAGCACGTGATTGACCTCGCAGTACGGGAAAGTCGCCCTTCTCTGGAGGGAGCACGTGATTGACCTCGCAGTATGTTCTGACGACCGAAATGACCCTTGATGCATTTTCTAGAAGGATGTACTGGGGAGAAGAAGGGGAGGTTATAAAATCGATCAAAGCAAAGTGGGCCGCCGAATTTGTGTATCCAACAAGGTACATAAATGCCACACTTCCGAATTTCGTAATTGAAGAAGCATTTTGGGGAATAGAAAATGTAGAACGAGCAGTACTCGCGGCCTAATCAGTTCCAGAAATGAGCTTCGAATTCGAGGCGTCAGACGTCGTTTACTGTCTATTCTTAGAAATGGGACCAAGATTAAAAGAAAGGGACTTCTATAACGTATTGTGCGTGGTAAACACGTACCTACACATCTACCGTTTTGAAGACCTCTCGGCCTACTGGCGCAATCTTTGCCGGGAGGCATGTATCGAAAAATTTATAGATGAAATCCCTTCTTTATTCGGTATGGTTAGAAGCTTTTGGCACGGGGACTGGGTGCTCATAGAAGAAATACTCGGTTAACAACAAATGACAAGAGTGAAGGATACGTCAAGATAGTGATGAAGGGGGTGGATCAATGGTCGTTTTGTGTGTCTTAACATGGTCTACGGTCTAGCAGGAACCAAGAAAGAAAAGAGGAAAAGATGAGCGATGCCAGCGCCAATGGAGGGCCGCCAATCACCGCGGCGGAAATAGTCAAGTTACTAGAGAACAGGACGATTAAAAGGTCTAACCTACCGAGAATAAACATCCTCCCTTTCAAGGGGGATATGGTGACTCATTGGTTAGAATTACTTGAGCAGATCTTCAACCAGTTGACACCAGCCGAGAAGTTTGCCAAGTTGTTCGAGTACGTATGGTGGGAATGCACATTTGACGTAGAAGTTGTAGTGAGAAAGTCCAACAATGATTGGGCTGAATTTAAAAAGGGCATGCAAAAGACGTTTAAGCTAGGAGATGGCTTGCTCACGATTGACCATCTCTATAACATGAACAAAGATGATTTCACCACGATCAGGGTGTTCGCCAACACATTCGAAAAGACAACCGAGAGGGTCCCGGGGTTGTCTGAAGAGATGCAGTGCGTCATATTCCTAGGGAAATTCTCTGGGTATGAGGCGATGGAGCTAACCCGAGGGAGAGCCACCGGGAGGAAGACAACCTGGGAAACCATAAAGAGGAACATCGTGGCGGGAGACATGGACCAAGTATTCCATCACCAAATCAAGGTCGAAAGAAGGAAAAAAAAGGTAGTTGGGACGATCCAAGGAACGGATATTGTACTTGGAGGAGTGTTGAGCGATAAAGCAAATGAGATAAAAAAGCTTAGGGAAAGAGTGACACCTGCAAAGGTACTAACAGTGACACCGTTATCAGGAAAGAGAAGGAAGGAAGAAGAAGATGGAGAGGAGGAGGCCGAAGAAGGAGAACCAGAAGGAACGGACAAACTGATAAAGTGTCAGAGGAAGGAGGACAAGGCTCGGGAAAAGGGTAGGTTACTCAGCAAGCAATAGTCGAATATGGGCAAGAGCCGTCGACGAGCACAACTCGGTATGGGCAATGGCCCGTAGGTCCACCTGTGGGGGCGTGGCCTGGGTATTTCCCGATAGGGCCATGGCCGCCGCAGGGGCCGTATCCTATGTTGCCCCAAAACCAGAATTTGGGAGGAGACCAAAGCGCAAGGCAGAATCAACAAGCCGGACAAAACCAGCCAGGGTCGAGTCGCCAGGGTGGCCAAAACCAGAACAGGTCCCAAGGACAAGGACAAGGAAAAGGACATGGAAGAGGCAGGAACGCTGGAAGGAATCAGGGACCAGGGGAACGAGGAGCAGGAAATAGAAGAAGTGGGTATCAAGGTGGAAACTGAGGGCAGCTCCAAGGGGGTGCGAATCCGGTAGGGCAAGAATATCAGCAAGGGTATGATCGTGGTTACGACCAAAGCTACGGAAGAGGCTTTGGTAGAGGAAATGGACAGTGAAACGGACACGGTTATGGCAGAGGATGGATAGATTACAGTGAATGCACTTGCACCCACTGTGAGATCAAAGAACACACGGTAAAACGATGTCACGTCAGGAAGCTTGACAAAAGCGATGGACTCATAACATCAAATATAGATGGCGAGGTAGTTGACAGAACAGAAAGGGTGATCGATCCTGAGATTCCAGGAGGCACTAGAGAAGAGGCCCTTCGCGTAGCCTCGCTTGGTCCCAACGCCCCGGGGATGTTCAAAATGTGGCAAGAAAAGGAAGGACCGATCGTACGAGTGGAATATGTAACTGAACTAGATGGAAAACTGAGCAGAATGGGGATCAAAGAAAGCAAGAAAGACGTACCCCTTGTGGAAAAAGAGGCAAAAGAGGATGACGTTAGGATTAACGCCAGAGATACATTTGATAGGATGGAGGACCTAGTGAATAAAATGCAAAGGCTACACTTGAGGCTTCAATGGATATGTGAAGAAGCGGGGAAAAAAGGGGTTGGATGCTCGAAAGTGTTTACCATGGGACGTGAAGGATCGGGAGAGGGACCAAATGAGCCCAACCCAACATGGTCGCGGAGAGCAGTGGGGGTCCAAGAAGTGTAAGAGGTACAGTTCCGTTCGCTACAAGAAGGCCCCCAGGAGGGAATCCTCCAAAGGAGCAAGCACAGGCTTCCCAGCCAGCAGAGGAAGAACCGCCTATCATGGTAGAGGGTGACGAAGATGAGGATGAAAAAATTAGGGAGAAAGAAGAAAGGCAGACGGAAATCAGGGCTAAGAGAAGGAAAGGTGAAGTTAAGGAAGGAAGTTCCAAAATGGATGAAGCGCCAAGAAAGAAAAGGAAATATCAAACTTCGATCGAAGAAGGGGTGAACCTGGAAAGTCTGATGAATAAATTGTTAGAAGGACACAATGAACTATTAAACCTGAACGAAATCCTCGCTTCAGCTCCTAAGCTAAGGGAGATGGTGAAGGCAAGGTTATCACGCCGAATAATAGCCTCGGTCTGGATGGGAGACGTGATTTCCAAAGAAACAAACTGGAGCGTGGCAAAGAGCAAAATGGACTGGAAGTTCGTGGGAACAGGGTCGATTGATGTTATGATGAAGGAGAAGATGTGTCCTGGGATGGTCGACACCGGGGCAAAAATGAACATTATAAACGTAGAAACGGTGGTAAAACTAGGGTTGGAGGTGGATGAGAATGACTGCGGGTTTCTCAATGGAGCCAGCGGCAAGACCGGATACAATGGGGTCGCATCGAATGTGGTGATAGAGATAGGAAGAGTCAAGGTACGTATGTGTTTCTATGTCATGCCCAGCTTGGATCTCCCAATATTATTGGGCAGGTCATTTATGTGCAGGTCCGAGTCGCTCATAATGAACAAGCATGATCGCAATGTTCGTTATCTTGTGTGATTCCGCTTGTGGAAACTTCGAGGTTATCACCTGTAGGAATACAGGACCACACAGCTCGAAGAACAGACTCAATGCCAGAACAGACTCAATGCCGGATCCTACACATTCGAGGAGTCTGAGAATAGGAGGAGAGAACTGGAATGGAAAGAAGCAGAAGAGGAGTCAGATGATGAAGAAGCCAAAGAGCTTGTATTAAGTCTAACAAATATCAGTGACGCAGTGGAACCGGTAGCGGCTTATAGGATGGCTGACCCAGACGCTGTCAGAGCACTTCAGAAAGGATCCAAGACGATCCAGAGGAAGGGTTGATCTTGTCTACCGGCCGCCTCCTTCTTCTCAAGTGATAGTGCCGCATGCGCCAAATCCTCAAGCTGCAAGTCAGCATTTTTTAGAGGTGGGCTCAAGCAGGGCTCTAAAAGGAGGTACAAGACGGTAGATAAGAAGAGTCACCCTGTGCTAGTCCTGGCGAGTCAGGAAGAAGGCGTATATTATGATCATGAAAGAGAGCTAACACAAGGAATGAGGGAAGGCATCCAGAATGGGCCCTGACGTATCAACAATGAGACTGAGAAAAAATTGATAATAGGAGAACCTTAGTTTCTGACAAAACAAGAGCAAGACTTGGTGAAAGAGCTGATACGAGAAAAACATAGGGCATATGCCTTTAATAATGATCAACGTGGGAGGTTGGATGTAGACAAGATAGAGATGATCCGCATTCATACGGTACCTCATGAACCATGAAATGTCCGAGGAGCTAAATACCCCAACCCCGAAGATCGCAGAAGGGTGGTAGAGTACCTAGATGAGAAAATCCGCATGGATGTTGCTGGGTACTCCAGTGGACCGTACGCGTCTCCCAGGTTTTGTTTTGTAAAACCAAATGAAGTACTCAGATGGGTACAAGACCTCCAACGACTGAAAGTTGTAACCGTAAGGGATGGTGGAGGGTTGCCTAAAGCTGACCAGTTGTCAAAAGCTCGTGCAGGAAGGTCGATTGTGTCACTCGTCGACCTCTACTCCAGATATGACAAATTTCCAGTCTATCCGGCAGACCGTCTCATTACGGCAATGCACACGCCAAGAGGGTTAGTCCATATGAATGTTGCACCTCAAGGATGGACCAACGCTGTGGCCATGGTGCAACGAAGTATGATCAGGGTAATGAAGCCAATCAACCCGCGAATCACCGAGCCATATATTGACGATCGTGCCGTCAAGGGCCCAATTGAGAAGGATGAGTCCGAAGTGGCTCCAGGGGTGAGAAGGTTTGTACGGGAACATGTTCAAGGATTCAGAGAAGTCCTAATGTTACTAGAAGAATACAACCTCACCGCCAGTGGAGTAAAGTCAAGGCATTGCGTAAAGAAGGTAACCATTCTGGGATACATTTGCAATGAACATGGTCGGCGAACTGATAAGAAGAAGACTAATAAGATTCTAGAATGACCCACTTCCTTCAAAAATGTGGGTGAAGTTCGAAGTTTCCTTGGTACCTGTGGGTTCTGGAGGAGATTCATAGAAAGATTTGCTAGCAAAACAGAGCATCTAAGGAAGCTAGTCCGGAAGGATCAGGGATAAGAATGAGAAAACCATCATGAAGAAGTGGTGGACGAACTGAAAAAGGGATTCAGAGAAGGAGGTCTAGTACTAGGGGTACGAGACTTTGATGCGACTATGAAAAAACCCTTCATAGTTGAGACTGACACTGGGCCAACCGCCTTGGGAGGCGTCTTGATTCAGGCAGACAGTGATGGAAAGGAGAGATCGGTGAGGTTTGAAAGTCGGACGCTCAACTCAACAGAAAGGAATTACTCGCAGTTTAAAAGAGAAGCCTTGGCGGTCCTGCATTGCCTACGAATCTTTAGGCATTACCTCTTTGGGAGGAGGTTTGTACTCAGGATCGATCCAACGACACTTGTGTACTCACTCAAGAACTTCTCGCCCTCAGATCCGACCATAGCCAGATGACTTACTTATATCTTGATGTTCGATTTTCAGTTATAACGGATCCCTGAGAACAAAAATAGGGCGGATGACATGAGCAGAATTGAGTGGGGGAACCAGGAAGAAGCTAAGGAAGAAACACCTCCGGTGGATGAATTTTTGGAAGAAGGGGAAGACATGCGGACTCATGTGAATTGTTGGTTCATGTTCGTCGGAGATGAGGAGAGGAAATCCAATGTGGCATCCACCTCCTGAATTTATGAGAGAACCTTCCCTGATACTCACACCATTAGAGGAGGAGGATTCTTGGGGCGAGAGAAAGACGGAGTGGATGATGGAGTTGGCTCTGGCAGAGAACTATAGGATAATGGATGAGCCGCGAACGATCGAAGCAGGAGTCCAACAGTCAGACGAGCAGGTAGCCATGATGGGAAAAATCTACTACCTGACAAATTCGATATTACAAGTTCCAGCGAATGATGAAAGAGGGATGGTGAAGGCCGACGAGATAGTAATTGAAGATGATTTCGAATTTGATGAAGAGAAGGAAGGAGAATTCGAACAAGAGGAGATCTAAGAGGAATTCAGGGAGGAAGAGTACGATGAATTCTATTTAGAAATGGGGTTTGTTCCTATCAAGAGATACAAGAGAGAGAGAAAAGTGAGTGAAAAGACTTTCAGGATGATAGATCGCTATGTGGTAAGAGGTGACCATTTGTTCATCAGGGACAAGAGGGGGCCGCCGCGACGCGTCGTATGTGAAAGGAATCGTTAGATTGACGTAATAGCCGCATTGCATGATGGGACAGTTGGAGGACATCGGAGTTTCGTGGCTACTTACAAAAAGGCGATGAAAATTTATTACTGGGAAGGAATGTTTGAGATGACACGAAAATACTGTGAGTCGTGTGTGCCCTGTCAAATACGATCGCCTATCAAATACAAGGAACTTCTGCATCCTGGATATATCAAGGAAGTAGGGACAGTTGTTCACTTGGATCTGTTAGCTATGCCTTTAAGACTTGGAGAGTATAACTATATATTTGACGCGAGAGATAACCTTACTGGGTTCGTTGATGGCAAAGCGATCAGGAACAAGACCGGGACAACGCTGACAGATTGTATTAAAGAATATTATCTCAGATATCGGTTCGTATTGGAATTCATGATGGACAGGGGGTCTGAGTTCACATGTGGGGAAGTGGAGGAGTTGATGAAAGAATTGGGGGTCATAGGTAACCATACGACTTGGGCTCATCCACAAGCGAATGCACCGGTCGAGAAAGGTCATAGTACAATTACTTAACTTACTGGCCAAATGGACCAGTGGGAAGCCGAACCTCTGGCCAAAGTTCCTAAGAACAGTGTTCTTTGTGGAGAATATCACTGTAAAAAGGACGACAGGGTATGCACCTGCGACACTCTGGTATGGGCGTCACGCCACATTTCCAGTTGAAAGTTTCCTGAAAACTTGGCGCAGGCAGGACCTGGAAAACAATTTGACATTGGAGGAACTACTAGATCTGAGGGCAAGGCAGATCAGCGCCACTGAAGAGAGGGTTCAGGAAGCGGCCATGCAGGTTGCAAACAACTGAGGAAGAGATAAGGAAAGATGGGACAAACAACCTAGAGTGAGACTCGAGCCTCTGCAAGTTGGCGAGACAGTGCTACTCTGCGATTTCTCTTTGGAAATGCACTGGTTGCGTAAACTGGACAAACGTTGGCTTGGACCATTCAAAGTTAGAAAGCAGAGACTTCATGGGGCCTACGAGCTAGAAGAGATGGATGAGACTCCGAGAAAGGACTGGGTTTCACGGTCCAGACTAAAGAAGTTCCGAATCAGAGGAGAGATGAGCCTAACTATGATGCAGAAAGCCTGAGTAGACTGGGGAGTGATTATGCATACATGTGTGTGTATATGTATACGTGCATGAATGTGGAGGGTATAGTGGGAATGTACGTGTGTATGCACACACAAGAATATATATACATATATATATATATATACATGTATATATGTGCGCGTATGGGAGTACCAGATAAAGGAAGCATTGTCAAACTTATGTTTAACGAAAGGTGTTGCCTTGATGATGATCTGATCCTTGTACCTGTCTTTTGCTCCTTCTCTATGTGCACGCGTGACCCTTGGGGAGAAGAGGCCATGGCGCAGAGAGGAGGAAGCGCAGGACCCTCTGGACCCACCTTGAGAAAGGGCGGGCAGATGAGGGATCAGAAAGTCTCAAGGAACCTGGAGGAACTGCCAATTTACAGGGCTGGAGACAGCCTGCGAGTATTCCTGCGAGACCTTGAGGAGTATGCATTCAGGAAAGAATGGGGTGACAGGGAGAAACTCGCGAATGTGACTGGAGCAGGAATGTACAAGAAGAGGATTGAAGGAGTGGTGGCAGGATGCACGAGGTGGAGAATATGCAAGATGAGGTTGTGGAAGGAGATGGGGGTCTTCCCAATGGACTATGTTGAGGATGACCTAAGATTTGATGAGACCAATGTGGAAGATTTTATCGACAGTTTGCAGCTGGCAGTTGAGAGAGGGGAATGAAGTGAAGAAGAGAAGAAGAAGCAGTTGATTGCGAAAACAAAAAAGAGTGAGAAGGAGGAAATAAAGGGGATCGTGGAAGGAAGTCGAACATGACAGAGAACAATAGCAGAATTGTGGATAGCCTATACCCAGGCCAGGCGGGATCAAACAAGAAAGGAAAGGTTGCAGGAAAGGGAGTTATGGATTGGAAGAAAGATGGATGAGTCACAGAGGAAAGAGGCAGAGGATGAAAAGGAAGATGATGTGCCTCTGAAAAGATTGAAGAACAAGGCGAGGGTCGCCCCCAAGAGCAGCGACAAGGGATCTGACCAGGCAAAAAGGGATGAACACGAAGAGATGAAGGAAACCGAAAGAAGGAAAAGAATCATGGGAGCAAGCGCGGCGCCAAGGGAGAGAAGGATTGGGGAGAAAATACCAGCTGAGATTGGAAGGAAAGAGGTACAGGAGAAGGGGAGTGAGAAGGCAGGAGGATCAAAGGAGACAGGAGAAGTGTCGATTGGAGACAAAGAGGGGAAGGAAGGAGAGAAGGGTGAGAAGGAAGGGAAGTTGAGAAGGGCCAAGGAAGTGGAAGCTGAAGTAGGAAAGAGAAGAGCAGAGGGTGGAGAGTCATCCCAGTTGAGAAAGGAGGTGGAGGAAGGGCAGGTAAGTAAGGAGGAAAAAGCCCAAAAGGACAGGAAAAAGAAAGGATGAAGGGATTATATGATCAGGATGCTGTAGTATGACGACCTGCCTGTGAACTCCACATGGGATGTCAGATTTGAGGGGATGCTCCTCTCAGAGCTGGTGGTAAGTTCCAAGCACTCAGAAAACTTGCAGAAAATGATGGAGGTGCATGAGATGTTGGATGAGAAATGCACCAAACTCTTCGAAGATTATGCTGAGATTGTCGGGAAGATGGGGAGGATGGAAAAAGAAGATGAAGTGAAAGAAGTTGGGGAAAACCTGGACACGGTAGGGAAAGGACTCCAGGCAGACCTCAAGGGCAACACTGAACTCTTCACTCAAGGGTTCTTGGATTACATCCCTGGGCTCTTAAAGGAGATGAGCAGGTTAAGAAAGAAGGAAGAAGAGAGAGATACACAGGTAGCAAAGCTGGTTGGAGACATGGAAGGGATGAGGAAGGAAGTGGAGGAGCTGAAGAAGGGGAAGGAGGAATTGCAGAAACAAGTAAGGCAATTGAGGGCCGCCCTGACTATGAAAGGCAGAGAATTGGAGGATGAAGCAGCTGCAAGAGGAAGAGTGGAAAAAATGGTGGAAGATTTATGTTTTGAGGTCAGTGCGCAGGGAGTAGACATGGACACTGAGATCTCAGAGAGAAAGAAATTGAGACAGGAATGGGAGAAAATATGGGGTGAGATATTGAAAGGAATGGGGGGACTCAAATTGAGCCATCAGGGGAAAGAAAAGGAAACCACAGAAATGGTGGAGAGAAATGAGGGTGAAGGAAAATGGGTACAGACTGAGGAGAGAAGAGAGGAGTCTCCTGGACCAGAAAGGGAGGTAAGTGAGAGTGTGGCTATGCCTCTGCCAACGCAGGGCAAGAAGCAAAGGGAATTTGAATTGGGCTCACCAGAAGGAACTGAGGATCAAGCTGAGACTTCAGGCCAGACAGACATGAAGAAGATCAAGCCTAATATGGTTGGAAAAACGTGCTTTTTCTGCACTTAGGAAGGGCATCTCAGGGATGATTGTTCCATTCAGGCAGTGTATATCAAGGAAGGGAAGGCAAAATATGATAACCATAAGAGATTGGTGGCCTTCCCAGGATACTTGCGGGAGGCAGGGTAGCACTCCACAGGATACTGGGACTGCCGATTGATTTCTAGATAGGAGTAGGTAGATGTTCTTTGTGAATTGTAATTTGTATTGGCATGTAAAACAGTTATGGATGAGAGCAAAAGATGTACTTTAGAACATATGATATATGATTTCTTCTTTAGTTAGGTAGGAGGAAAGATGTGAGATATGTTGTGTTCTTTCTTCAGTCAAATAAAAAGACTTAGCATAGGGAGTAGTATAAGAAAAAACATGTGAGATATTAATAGAGGTGGGTAGCAATTTGACTCTGTGACATATTTTGTATTTATATATATATATCTTTCAGGGGGATGAGCTGATGAACACGACGCACTTGTCACATTGTGTGTGAGCCTTTGTCTTTGGTTGAATCTCTTGTGACATAAGATCTCCCTATGTCTATCACAACTAGACTTTGTTGATATCTAAGGACGTGATAGAGGAACGGGTGGATCTATATTTCATGTGAAAGTTTGATGAGTGCTTGTGAAACTTCAAAGACTGGATTGATTGTACATTTCATGTTTGAAACCCATGCTACGACATGGATAAACGCCTTTGAGTCTTATCAATTCTTTTGCAGAAATTCTTTGGCAATCTTTATAAAAGTAATATTTTCTTCGTGGATTCGGACAAACAAAGAGTCAACAAATATTTATCTTAAAAATAATGGTTTTTTTTAAAATATATACAAAATGACCCCGAGGTGCATGCCTCATCGAGCTATGATCAAAGACTTGGAGCGCACAACCCTGAGTGGCAGCCTGATGACTGCTCAATTTATTGAAAATTGTCATTTATTTGGTTTCTTTAAAGCATCGTTCATCCACTTCAAGGGTTAACCTGAGGATATAAAACTATCAAACCTATGGTGGAGAATTGGCATTGCTGGGATGTAACTCCCAGCGTGCGCTGCTGACCTAGCACAACCAGGCAGCGGACCCTTCGACTATTGCCTAGAAAAGGGGCTAGAGGGGATGGCCACCCCAGTGAAGGAACCTATTCAGCTGGATGTCGAAGGGGTCGAGATTAGTCTTGAAATTCATATTTTTGAAAAGATAGGATGACTAACCCATCGTTGCGCAACCAACGAGGGTAGCCACCGATAAGCAACAATGCGGTGGGCCGCAGCTCCGGCCTGATCAGCAGGACTGTGGTGGGTCAAGATGGAGACCGTTGTCCTCCTGTATTAGGTTTCGGGCAGGACAGCAGGCAACTTCGGAACAAGTAATATCAAGATTTGAACAACCAAGGTATCGTTTAGGACTCGCGTTTGACGGGATGAGTTCGTACGGGAACACCAGCCCCGAAAACAACCAACGAATACTTGAATCCAAAGTCTAAGCGAGTGGGGAAAGGAAAGGTGCGTTGTCATACTTAACTATTTTATGTGCTGTAGTACAGATCTAGTATCCCCATTTCGAGTCAGTTAGTTATTTTAGAATGTGGGAGACCCGGGTTAAAATCCTAGCAGTAGTAATGAAAAGTGAGGTGACAACGTCAATTCTAAACCACATCTCACCCTAGGGTTCGAATTTGACGAATTGCTTATCGAAATCCTTCTGTTGTTTGCATACAGTTCTCCGAGCGACGGGGACATTGCTTAATGAGGTCTGGGATACTTTTTGTCCAAATACCATTACAAGGGTATTTTACCATGCTTTTGCATTCGATACAGTGACGACATCGACTACCATGAGGAAGCCAGTCTAGAATGGAAAAGGTGTGCACGCTTGAGCGTGACGCTCGTAACGAACTCCTCGGCCAATGAGGCCGGGGCGAATCGGTGAGAAAAATTTCGAAGAGTATGAGCGTGCGTTATTATGACACACGCTGTGATGGGTAGATCAGTAGTAATATCCCTCGACAGAAAAGGTTGAGGGGTCAGGTGGGTTAATGATGTGTCAAGAACACCTACGGCACGTACTGACAAGGGTCAGAGGTTGAAAATTTTCAAGTACGTGCAGAGACTACAAAGTGGTTAGTGAATAAGACCACCGACCATAAGGTCGGAAGGTTAGTCCAAACGGAAGAGAGTCGCGCGGGACGCGGCGACGGTCTTCTCAGTCAGTTGACGACTGAGGAAGAGTGATTGTTTCGTCTCGAGTCCGCAGGCCAGGTAGCCGAGGCGACTAGATGAAGAAGCCTAGCCTGTTATAACAGGCTGCGGCGGCCAAACGGGGGCCTGAGTTTCCCCTACGCTAGGCTGCAGACCTTAAGTTGTGATCAAACTAGGCCCTGTGCTCTCCCTAGGGCAGATTCGCTTCTAGTAGAACCGTACTAGGAGCCAGCCCAGTAGGTACAGGCGCAGACTGATAAGCGAAGGATCCAGGGATCAAGTCCGACCTGCCTTCGGGCTAGCTCCTTTTGCTAGCAGCGAGGGGCAGGGCCTACCTTTTTTTTCGTCCGACCTCAGATATGTGGGACTCAAACCCACGACCTAGGGATTAGAATTAGTTGTAGCAGTTGCCCCGTTGAAACGGGGCACTACACTTGGCATTTAGTAGTAGTCCTCGTTTAAAATCGTTTATTCTTTATTTTGTTTTAATTAGGAAGTTCGATTCGTTTTTTTTCATTTGTTTTATTTCGTTTATTGTTTTTTTTACCCGTAACTACTATTTCCCAAGATTCGCCTTAATGAATCTGGGCCCAAAAGCCCGGCTGATTCAGCCAGGGAAGAAACAAGGCCCCAAGACCATCTCTACAGTGCCGCATTTGCCTATAGCACGGGGGTCCCTTTCGTTGGAGAGAGAGCAAGCCACCTCGAGATCGCGCAGAAGCGAGATCGGGAAACGGCCGCACGATGGCTGGAGAGAACGCAGAGAGGCGAAGGTGAAACAGAGGGGGGAAGAAAATACGAAGGAAGGGGCCGTGAGAGAACGAGAAGGAGGAAGGTGCGGCCTGGCGCACAAGACTTACCTCTGCGATCGAGAGTACGAACACGACAGCCAGAAGGATAGCGCGAAGCTTCAATTTGGCTTGAGAAAGGAGACACGAGAAGGAGAGAGGAGGAGAAGAAGGAGAAAGAAGGGAGAAGGAAGGAGGAAGAGAGGAGAGAAAAAAGGAGGAAGGAAGCAAAGTGTGAAATACTTACCTATGGAGCAGTAGGCCATCGAATGTGTCATTGACAACGACGACGACGATTACGGCAACGGCGGAGGAGAGAAGTAAAGAAAGGACAGGTAAGTGTTACAGAGTTGGGTATTAATACTACTGCCATTGCTATTACTACTACTACTTCTACTACTACTACTACTACTTATGTGTATAGGCTAGTATAAGGACATGCGAAAATGCG